TGCTTTATGCAGCTAAGTTTTGAGGAATTTTGTTACACAGCAAATAACTAACACCTCAGTCAACTCAGATCCATAAACACCTTCAGTAACACACAATCTCCTTTCTGTTTCCCCACAGCCTTTTGTGTACATCTACTGTGATGCTTCTGTCACAGTAACGATGCTCATGTGTTTGTCTTCCAAGGTCCTGAGCTGTTTCAGGATGGGCTATTTTTAAATGTACTAAGTAAAAAAAAAAAAAAACCCTAAAACCAAACTTAAGCCTAACAACACACAAAGGCCTCTTACAATAGGTAAGCTAAAAAGTAGTATCTCCTGTGTCACTCAGTGCTCTAAGCCTTTTGCAAATATCCCATTTATTCCTCATAAAAACTTTAGGAGATACATTATTACCCCACTTTACAGGTGAACACAATGAGGTCAAGTTATAAACTGAATAACTTGCCCAAGAAGATGTTGCTGAAAAAAGAATGACTAGTTAAATTTCTTATAAGCAGGACCATATTTTATTCACCTTAGAATCTTTCACAGTGACTAACCTTGTGTGCAATTAGAACTCAAATATTTAAGCTACTGTCTCATAATAAAAGCAGCTTAGTTTTTTGAGAATGAACTCTTGGAAACTTTGATTGTAGATAATTTAAATTGATTTCCAGTTTAAATATAAGGTGAAATAAGGGTTACAGTAAACATGTGATGAGACTAAACAAATTTTGGAATGTTTTTACCTTTCTTTATACATCTCCACCATAAATGCTTAACAAGAAACAAAGGGTAACCAGGTTACATAAAATATATAAAAAATGAATTTCACTAAAGTGACTGAAATTGGTGATTCAAGATCAAGACAGTTCTTGAAAAGAGTAAGATGTTGTTTTAATCATGTATTTTTTCCCTACAAAAATAAATGAATAGAGTGTTTCTACTGAAGCCTTTCAAGATACAAAAATAAATAGGTGGTTGCTATTTAATTTCTGTGGCCACTTTAAAAAAAATTTTTTTTGGTGGGACTGGGATTTGAACTCAGGGCTTCCCACTCGCAAAACAGGCACCCCATCACTTGGTGTGACTCCTTTTAGTTAAGTCAGGAGACCTGATTGATGGAGTGGCTCAAGTGGTACAGGGCCTGTCTAGCAAGCATGAGACCCTAAATTCAAACCCAGTACCGCCAAAAATAAAAAAACAAAAACAAAACACAACCAGGAGACCAATGATCCCTCCCAGAGAGATATTTTTAGAAGTACCTAAATATAAGAAACTTAATCACTTTGTATGGAGAATTGGCCAAAGTCTGGAAAGTAGCTTGATTTTGACATGCTCTCTCTGAACATTTTTTCCTACTTCATATTATTTAGCAGGTCTTTATATTATCTGTGAATGGAGGGTGGGCGTGGGGGAACTCCCTTTCTTTTCATATCATGTAGCTTTACTCCTACTTTCTGTCTCTGCAGAAATAAATGAAAACAAGTACTTTGGAAGCTATTAATAGAATCAAGTGTAGGCAGATGCTAAAGATAAATGATTTTGATAGCAAATCATTTTCCTTGTTCTTGTAGGCTTTACTATTTCTCAAAACAGTTAAGAAAAGACCTTCTTCAATTGTCTTGTGCAATTATCACCTAAAAATTTTATTTAGGACAAAGAAGCTTAGAAATTTCAGTCATTAAAGATTAAATGGCTTGCCTTCTTCACTCATAAAAGTGTAAACGCTGCATTTCTAATTTTATTTCTTGGATAATTAAGGATAGCAAAGCACTTGTGTCCATGAATTTCATTTCCTTTTGGTGATCCTATAGTTCTGAAGGGGTCTCACTTCACATTATCTTGCATTTCAGAACAGAGCCTTTATTATAGTAGCAGTTTCTCAGGTGTTTCTTTACTTTTTTGCATTTGAAGCAAGGTATGTTTTTATTTCACAATTCATATTCCAGTCATGAAATAAAGCAAGTCTAAGAATTTTAGTAGCCCATTCTCCAAAACAGATCAACTCTTCAGAAACACAAAAAACAGCTGCTCATTTTTTCAAAACACATTTGTTCTAAGATTAAAGTCAAGACAAAAATAACCAAAGGGTATTTGTGTTCTAAAATTTAATGCAAGCCAGAAATATCCACAGGGCAAGCCAGTATAGTACTGATTGAGAGAAAGCACAACGTGCCTTGGAGTCAGTCAAGCTGTGTCTTGTGTGGCCAATGTTGGGGATTTACTTCATCTCTTTTTTCTGTAACATTGGGACAATAAAAATACCTAGTATAGAGGAGGGTTATGGAAATAAAAACGAGAGTGTAATAAAAGTGCTTGGAACACTGCATGGCACGTGATAAGTCATCAATATGTATTAGTTATGATTATTCCCCAGTGCCATATAGAATGGTACTCCCAATTTTACTATTTAGGACAAAAGGGAAACATCTCCCCCAAAAAAGTATAAATTCTTTACAAATAGATGAATACTAATGTCTCTTTATATGTCTTATTTTCTCAGGGACTTTCATAACTTTCCATTTTTACAACTGTAATTCATTGCAAAAATTAGTTATTAATTTAAAAATGTTGAGTTAAAGTCTTACAAATGAACAGTAAACAAAAAAGAGTATCCTTTCGTTTTCTTTGGATAACTGGAATTAGTTTCTTACCCATCTATTAATTACTTGTAATTATAAGTATAGTATTGTGGATTGTCACTGGCAATCCCGCAGACAGCAAGACAGTTTGAATAAACCTGAACACTTCAAAAAGAATGAATATATAATTAAATGGAAGCTCTTAAACACTCCTGGCTGCATTTTAATTGACTCAATCTGTATGTCAAATAATCTGGCAAATTAGTATTCATTAAAAATCATAAAAATGAAAATACCACTGGACCCACAAATAATCCAGAAGCGGTTATGCAAAGTGAATTTTCTTTCTTTTTTTGAGTGACATTTTTATTTATATATAATTCACATACAATTCATCCATTTAAAGTTTACAATTCACTGGTTTTTAATATATTCCAAGCAACCATCATCACAATTTTAGAACACTTTCATTGCCTAAAAAACAAACCCAACACATTGTAGTAGTCATCTACCCGTTCCACGCCTGTCCTAACCCTAAGCAACGCTAATCCACTTTGTCTCTATAGATGTGCATGTTGTGGACATGCATAGAAATGAAATTACATAATACGTGTGCTCTTTTGTGATTGGTTTTACAAAAGGTGAAGCTTCAAAGGTCATCCATGTTACATTATCAGTTCTTTCCGTTTATGGCCAAGTAATATGCAATTGTGGAGCTAACCACATTTGATTTACGTATTTATCAGCTGAAGGATGTCCAGGACTTCCCATGGGGCTTTCCATTCCTTATTGTAGCCCATAGAATCTGTCCCCTGCCTTCCTATCTGGCCCCAGCTTATTACCTCCCCCTTAATTCTCTGAGGACCAGCCACACTAGCTTCCACAAACTTAGAATGTCAACTGTATCATTCTTTGCCCACTTCTTTACCCAGTAGTTTCAAGTCTCATCTTAAATGTCACTTCTTCACAGAAACCTTCTCTGATATCCCAAACTAGTCTAGAGCTAAATGTTTCTATAGCAGCCTGCAATTTTCCATCTTAATACTTTTGATACTGATAATTGTTTATTCAGCCAGTAATCAAATATTGAGAGCCTTTTCTGTGTAGAGACACAGTAAGAAACAATGCATACAAGATCCCAGCCATCTGTGACATTATATTCTAGGGAGGGGATACATAAAGGATTAAACAAATTAATGCACTGGGTAATTTCAGATAGAGCTAATTAGCTCATTGGCTATCCTCTGTTAACTCCTTGAAGGCATAACTATTTGTCTTGGTTAGTTGGAGTTTGCTAGAGTCTGGCCGCTGAATAAGCTCAGTGCTGTATTTTCTCACCAACTGTTAAAATAGGCATAAGAAAGACAGAAATGGAAATCACAAATGAGGCGACTTCTATAAATGGTTGAGTTTAAGGTTTTCCCCATTTCCAAAAGCTTTATGTTAAGACAACATATTCCTTTTATAATTAAGACAATTAACAGATAAATAAAAATTACTATCTGGAGCAAAAGAACTCCAGATAAAACAATTTATGTAACCACACAATCATTAAGGACCTAGAAAAGAACACACAAAAAAACCCTGCCCTGTAATACACAGACGAGTTGGTTACGTGGACAGACTTCTCTGGGAGCCAAGTAGGTTCCTAGCCCTCAGCAGTCCATTCACTACTTTATTGTGGCTCTAAACTCCCAGGATACGATCCCTCCACCCACACCCCAGATTTCTGGTTTCTAAAGAGCCCTAGAATAATCTCCCTCTACCCACATAACGTAGTAGAGGGAAAAAGTCACAAATCCATTTACGCCTTATGGTAAGAAAAGAGCACCTAATCGTTAGCGAGGTCAACAAAGAATGCAAATCTTTACGCGATAAATCACCAGCCCCTCCCCAATAAATTCGTCTACAAGCTCTGCAGACAAGTTAGGTTGAAAACGCCAGCAGGCTCTTGGTTGGGTAGAGCAGCAGACGGAAGAGCACTCCTTTCTTCCCAGGGGCGCATGCGCATGCGCAGCGCACTCTCCGGCCAGCGCACGCCTCTTCATGCAGCCGAGAGGGCGCTACGTCACTGTACGGTCGGCATCGGACCCTTCCGCTTCTCCTAGCTAAACGAGTACGCGCGCCTGTGGCTTATCTTAACCAGCGGGAAATGTCATACCGGATGCTACCCTAGTGACAACGACTTCCAAAGTTGCTCTCCAACAGCCTAACATTTAACCAACATTCTCTATTCGTTCTCTCGAAGGGGAAAGAGGCGAGCGAGGAAAAGGGGGAAGGTGGGGGGTAGCGCAATGTTGTTTACAAAGAGCGAGCGAGTCGGTGATCCCTCCGCGAGGGCGGAGCCGAGGCAGCCGGTACTTCTTTTTCCCTCCCTCCCTCCCTCCCCAGCCTTCCCCGCGAGCAGACGCGGCAGCGCCTCTGTCTCGCTTTTTCTTATTTTCTTCCCCCCTTTCCTTTTTCTTTTTCTTTTTCCCCCCTCCCCCCCTTTCACCATTTCCCCTCGGAGGCGCTTCCCCCGGGCAGGGGCAGAGCCGGTCTCACCCCCCGCCTCTCCCCGGCCCCCGCCGCCCTATGGCGAGAGGGAGCCCCCTCCTCACCCGGGCACCAGCGGCGGCGGTTGGAGGAGCGGGACCGACGGTGTCGGCGGCGGCCTCAGGTCCGGGCTCATCATGGAACTAGTTCGCTGACTGACCCACCGACCGCAGCCGTGCGTCCCGCTCGAACGCCTGTGCCCGCGCCCTCCGGCCCGGTTCCCCCCCTCTTCTCCCTCCTCAGTCGGCCCGGTCCTCGTCCCGCGCGCCTGTCGCCGCGCGCTGCGGAAAATGTGGTGGTAACGGGCCCGAATGACCCCGCGTCACCACTGCGAGGCCTACAGCTCTGCCGGGGAGGAGGAAGAGGAGGAGAAGGTGAGGGGCGGGGGGCTCGGCGCGACTCCGCCCCGGGGGAGCGCCGGGGGCGCGCGCTGCTCGCGGGGACCCGCCGCCCGGGGGACCCACAGGGACCTCTCCCTTCGCCCTCGGGCCGGTTCTTGGGTCAGCGAGTAACTTTTTTGTAGCAGCAGCACACCTGCGCGAGCCCGTGTTACTGCACAAAGAAGGGGACACGCCTCCCACCCTCGGACTGCGCGGTGCAGTGCTGGCCAAGCCGAGCGGATGGGGCGAGCCGCCAGGGCTGCGGAAACGGCGGGAGGGGAGCGGTACCCGGGGCGGGTGTGGGTGGGAGGGGAGACTAAGGAGTGAGAATTAGGTTGCATCCTGCAGGGCAGACAAAAATACCGACTGTGGCCCTCTACTAAGTTAGGGATTCCATTGCAGATCATCTGGGCAGAAGTTGGAAATTGTAGCAAAATAATGACAAGTATCTGTCAGGAGGTAGGATGGATTGACCAAAGGTGTTTGAATGTTGAGGGAAAACGTCTCGGTTTTATTCTGTCAGTGAGCCACTCAGCGTTTGAGCAGCAGCACTGAGGCTTCTTACTGCCAGGCACTGTTGTTAGAGGTTTGCGATTCATTTCATCCTCACCAGGACTTATTGACGAAGGTGCTGGGGCCTGGATAACATTAACTAGCTTTTCTCTTTAAAGAACAGCTGTTTCTGTCCTGAGTAGGAATCTGTTGAAAAGATAAACAGTAGTGTTACCTGCTTCTAGTTTTTCCAGGTCATTTGTGGCAGATGAAGAGGAAAAGATGAACAAGTAGATAAAGAATGGGCAGGATTTCTGGCAGGGCACAGTAACACACACCTGTAGTCTCAGCTACTCTGGAGGTATAGATTGGGAGGATCGTAGTTTGAGGCCAGCCCTTGCTAAAAGTTAGGGGGACTCTCATCTCAACCAATAAGCCCCATGTGGTGATCTGCACCTGTCATACCAGCTGTGCAAAAGGGGATAGTTGGGGGGACCTCCTGGTCAGCTGAGGCAAAAATGTAAGACCCTGTTTTGTTTTGTTTAAAAAAAGGGGGATGGGGGGGCTGGAGATTTGACTCATGTAGCAAGCTCAAATGTCAGTACAAAAAAAAAATGCAGGATTTCAGTAGGCTAATTTGGGACCAGAGGAATGAGAGATTGTGGTATCTTGAACTAGGAGTTTCTTAATACTGATGTAAGACAGACTAATCAAACGTGTTGGGAGGTAGAGTACGTGACACCCTGGTAGATTAGAGTGAAACTACATAGAGTGTATCTTGGTCAAGATTGGACGCTGAAAGTGTTTCATGTTTTATACTGATTGGGTAATTCTTTAAAGAAAGTATTCACCTCTTTGTGCATATTTGTTCATCTTTAAAATGGATGTAAGGATAGAAGGTATGGCTCAAGCAGTAGATGCTTGCATAGGCCCCTGAGTTCAAGGAAAAAAAAAAAGATTTGTAATTCCATCTTGATAAGGTTGTGTGTGAGGGTTACATAGTTAATGAAACAGCACTTTGTACAATAGCTGGCCAAATAGTAAGCACTTTTACGTGTTAAGCACCTAACAAGTGTAAGTATTTATTAGGCATGGTGCTAAAATCTGGAAATTGAGTGTTCACTGTTTGTAAAGGAGGCAGGTCTACAAATGATCCTCATACAGCAATTAAATGCAAAAGTACAATTGTGTACAAGTGCACATGTAGGAAGACAGGAAGCAACTGCACAATCCTTGCATTCTTGGTACAAAGCCCACTTGGTTAAGGTGTATAATCCCTTTTATTATTTTGCAGAATTCTGTTGGATACTATTTTATTGAGGAACTTTGCATCTATATTCAGATTTCTAATGATGTCTGGTTTTGGTATCAGGATAGTAGCTGGTCTTATAGACTGATTTGGAAAGATTTTTCCTTTTCTATTTTTCGAAAGTGTGTGTGAAGAATTGGTGGTAGGCTAGGCACAGTGGCTCATGTATGTAATCCCAACTACTTGGAGGCAGAGATCTGTAGGATTGAGGTTTGAAGCCAGCCTGGGCAAAAAGTTTGTGAGATCCCCCAGTTCAACCAGTAAAGCTGAGTGTGGTAGTGTGCCAGTCATCCACTTACCTGGTAGGCATAAACAGAAGGTTGAAGGTCCAGGGTGGCCTTGGTGAAAATTCAGGATGTCATTCAAAAAATAAAAGCAGAAAGGACTGAAGGTATGCTTCAAGTGATAGAGCACCTGCCTAGCAAGTGCAAAGGCCTTGAGTTCAAAACCCAGTACCACCAAAAAAGAAAAACAAATTGTAATTTTTCTGTAAATATTTGATAGAATTAACTAGTGAAGTCTTCTAGGTTTGGGTTTTTCTTTAACAGTACTTCTTTCCCCCTTGTTACGTGATTATTCATCTTTTAAGTCAGTTTTGGTAGGAGGCATTTCTAGGAATTTGTGCAGTTTCTTCTAAATTATATGATTTATTTGTATATAATTGCTCATAAAATTTCTGTATACTTATTTCTTTAAGGTAGGTAATAATGTCCTTTTTTTTAAATTTCTGACTTTAGTAATTTATCTTTTCTGGTCAGTCTAGCTAAAGGTTTACTGGTTTTGATCTTTCCTTTCATTTTTATATTCTCTACTTCATTATTTTCTATTCTGTTTATTTCCTTGCTTCCAGCTTGCCACAAGCCTTTGTCAACCTTCTCTCATTCTGAGAGTAATCTCATTTGTCTTGTTATTTAATACCACATTTTAAAATAACTTGTTCTACTTCTATATTTGAATATTTAGGTATTTATAGATTTCCTGCTACAAAATGTAAGGATAACTCCCATTCTACCCTCTCCTAACACCTATACTTAACATCCCCTTATCCTCCCAGCTTAGTTTTATCACAGTGTTTGTAGAAATGTTTATTGGTTGTTTTTATTATTATTTCTACATAAATATTGTGGTATGTTAATTATTACAATTACATTCTTGTATCATCGTTTTTCCAAAATTACTTGCCTTTTTTGCTTAGCTTTCAAGAAATCTGCCTGAGTTTTTTCACATCCTTCAGCAGTTTCTTAACCCAGTTTTTTTTTTAAATTACAGTTAAACTTCCCAGATACGTAGTTTATTTTTTTTAAACCTAGAGAAATTTTTCTTGGACTTTCATTTGCTCTGATCTAGACTATTGCCCTTCAGAGCACCAGTGGCTTTTGAAGTGGAGCTAGTGTGTTTATTCAAGTTTAAATAGCCACATGTGTAGCTGATGGTCACTGCACTGGAAACACTGTTTTTGATAGAGATTGGACCCAAGGCCTTGTGCCTGCTAAGCACCACATGTTCTACCCTACTGAGGAACAACCCCAGCCCCAAAGCACAACTTAACATGGTTTTGTACTGAAGAAGTGGGAATGGGTAGGATTTAATGTAATTGCTACAACTTTTTTTAATGAAGAAAAAAACTAGTAGCCCTTGTTAGAGTTTTTTGGTTTTTTTGTTCGCTTTATAATTGAATTTCAGATTTAACATGAGAATGTTTTGGATAACTGATTATTATTGTGGCATTTTAATATATAATATTTTAAAGACCTGTAAAATCCTATACTAGCTTGTAACATTCTCTTGTTTCATGAATTACTTAATAACTAATAACATGTGTAAATGTAACACTACACTTATTCTATAAGTAATAGCATTATTTATATTTGAGTTTATAGGTAGCTACATCAAGCTGGGTGGCAGGCAAATTGAAAGGATATCATGAAGTTTCCAGGACCTTTGGAAAACCAGAGATTGTCTTTCCTATTGGAAAAGGCACTCTCTAGGGAAGCCCAGATGTGGAAAGTGAATGTGCCGAAAATGCCTACAAATCAGGTAATGATTTGTCTCTTCAAACAGATGAGTTTTATTTGAAGTGTACAACTGCATATATAATAGTATCTTGGTGCAGCATTTGGAGAAATATGTTTTATTAAGGACATGCTCTGTTCCTTATTTGAGAATCATCTTGATTTTTTTTCAGCTCCTTGATTTTAACAAAAACCAAAGTGAACTGTTTAAACAAAACACAAGTTTTGTTTGCATGCTTATTTGATTTACAGCTGTAAGAAGATTATGTCCATTCACTTTCCTCATAAACTAATGCTAACAACAGTAAGCCTTCTTTATTTCTAAATATATAGTTAACCATGGAAGCAGAACATCTTCATACCCCTATCTTTAGTGATCCAAAAATCATTCTTCCTTTCATCAGTATTTACAAGGAGTTCAAGTGAATAATAAGGTAATGCCAATGTTGGAAGCCCCTTGGGAGATAGCTAATTATATTATCACTAATTTTTTACAAATAACTATGAAGCTTATCTGCTCCAAAGGATTACTATAAAAGATACGTTGCATAGCTTTTATCCCTGGTACCTAACATGATGCTTAGGATATAGAATAGTGGCCAAGAAATTTTTAACATGTATGAGTGAATGAATGACAAATATTTAATTCCTCCTATGTTATTTTATGTTGTCTTTTGTTCATAGGTTGTTGAAGTGTGTATGTTTTAATTCCACCCTACTTCTATCCCACAAGCTGAAGGAATGTGTTCTGCATTTACTGTTACTTGCTTGTCATTTTGCAAATTGAAGATATGTTGACTTGAATGAGTATATTCTATGGTAGAAACATTTATATGTGCTATCATTTTATAAATCTTTTAATTCTCTGAAATAGGCAATAGTCTCATTTTGCTTAAAACTTTAGCTTTGTTTGAACTTTTCCTGTGGTAATCTCTTCTTTGTTTTTCATTTTTTATATTTTTGTGTGCATGTGTGATTTTTAGGTTTCTTTAAATGTTTATTGAGTATTTCTTATATTCCAGGCAGTATTCTACACATCAGGGATACAGCAGTAGAAAAGTCCCAAAACTCCTTCCTGTATGTTACATTTAGTAAGCCTCAAAGCCTTTCAACAGCTCCTTTTCTTTTTTTGTACATAGGGGTTTTATATTGAACATAGGGGTTTCATTGTGATATTTTCA